GACAAGAAATCAATCTGATACCAACTTCAAAGCCTCATCTTTACTGCCAGCTTGCATAGTGCTGCATGTAAGAGAAAATTTAGCATGAACCTTATCTAGCTGTGGATCCTGCCAGGTACAACAACAGCTAGCCTAGAAGAGACGACTACTTGTGCAATAGTGGCATGAATACTATAGGAGTAACCAACTACTTATACTTACATTGAAACTAGATCTGTGCTGCCATTGGTGCAAATTACAATGCCACACTTGTTTTCCAGCTACATAACCAAGCTTACATTTTGAGCCAGATGGAGACATTATCCATTTCTATTCCTATAAAAGGTTTTTCATGCATAGTCTTTTGGGGGGTATGTGTGCTGTATGTACGTTCATGCACATGTGCACATTTTTGTGAGTACATGTGCTTGTGTGCATATGCCTATGGAGGTCAGAGGTCATGTTGGACGTTCTTCTCAATTGCTTATTTTACCTCTGTGACACTGTCTCATTAAACATGGAGTTCATCTACCTGGTTGAACTAGTTAACCAATGATCTCCAGGGCTCCATCTACCTCCAGCTCCACAGTGCTGGGATTACAGATGTGCACTGCTGAGGATCTGAACTCAGGTCCACAGCTTGTGTGCTAGGTACTTCACTGGTAGCAACAAGAGAGTGACTAAAGAGTTACAATGACCAGAGGCAGAGGCATTGGGGACTGAGGAGACGATCATGAAGTATAGTGGATATGAAGAGCTTAAAATGAGGGACAAGGGGGATGAGTTCCACAGAACTGCTAAAACCTGACGTTTGAGGGTCCTGACAGCCAAAGTCTAAGAGCTGTAATCTTCAATAGTCAGCATCAGCACTGACATCCAAGGTTCAGGAGGTGTAACAGTAGGTGGTTGATGGCTATTACTTCAGTTGATCCAAAGAGCTGAGGATAATACTAGCTTGTGCCAGCTGGTGAGTGGCAGTCAAAACACAAAGCAATAATCCTCTAACCTGAGCACCTACAGCCTGGAATGATAGATCTCTAGTTCTCAAGACTTGGAACTGAGACTGAATCTGTTAGCCCAGCACTGCTAATCAGGTCTGCTAACACTAGAAGAGGTACCTTCATCTACCTCTACAATTTCTGTTAGAGCAAAAGGATGCCCAACCATAGAACTGGTAGTATTCCTGGTTCCCTGTCCAATATTATCATGCCAGTAGTTTGAAATTCACCACAACGGAAACATTTACCCCAGGGAAAGTGGTAAATGTAAATGAGTACATAGTTTATTGTACTAGACATTATCTAGAGTTGCAAAGTGCTAATATACGAACATTAGAAATGACACTTCCAATATTCAAAAGCAGTTGTTCCTTACAAGTATGTTACACCATGGGAGCATCAATTTCTAATACTTTTTTTTTCCTTTCAGTATTTGTTAAAGGGATATAATTTTAAACATATAGAACTGGGGCTGGGGAGATGGCTCAGTGGTTAAGAGCATTGACTACTCTGGCAGAGGACTAGGGTTCCATTCCCAGCATCCCCATGGCAGCTAGCAACTTTCTGTAACTCCAGTTTCAGGTGAACTTGACACCCTCCTCTGACCTATATGAGCATTGCATGACAAACATGCACTTACATACATGCAGTCGAACACTCATATACATAAAATAAAAATAATAAAAGTATTTTAAACATATAGAACTGTATGGACATTTTGCCAAAGAAGATAAACAGCGGTAAATAAATGAAAATAATGCTAAAAAAGAAATGAGGATGTAATTAGAACTAGAAAAATACTGTCACACATGTTGTATGAGTTAGTTTATTAAAAGAAACCAATACCCACTACTGGCAAGAATATGGAAGAACTGAAACTCTCAGAGGTCACAGGACTCCTAAGAAAACTGTTAGATCAGCTTTACAAAAAGTTACACATCCAAAATCCTAGAGCCAGGTGTGGAATATCGCCCTAAGAGTTGTTGGCCAGGGAACCCCCCAGAAGCTCCTGAAATAATATCAGCCATTGCCACTGTTCTTAGTTGCTGACCAGAAATAGATGGAAAGACCCTATTGCTGAAGACAATACAGACTTTGGATACAGGACATAGAGAAATCATGTTGGAACTGAGATAAACTCTTCTCTGCAGACTAGCCTTCACAGTGCTAGGACATGCTATACAAACTGTTGGGGGAGAAAGGTCATCAAAGATCTAACCCATAGACCCTGTGTACTCCAATACTGACTATCCTGGCAAGATAGGCCCATTAGCGCAATAGTGACTGTTCCAGGGAAACCAACCAATTCCTCATTGGATCTGAATCCTGCTCCACGGAGGGAATACACACCTGCAGTATAAACCTGGTTAAAAAAAAATATGGCTGAGGAGATTTTGGGGCCCCATGGGGGATCCATTACTGTTCCCTAAATGAACAAGAAGTTAAAAATGCCTCCTAAATACTTTATACACATAGAATGATGCAATTGTCAGCCTCCTCCTCCTCTTCCTTCCTTCTTCCTCTTCCTCTTCCTCTTCCTCTTCCTCTTCCTCTTCCTCTTCTTCTTCTTCTTCTTCTTCTTCTTCTTCTTCTTCTTCTTCTTCTTCTTCTTCTTGTCATTTTGAGCCTGGGTCTCCCTGCAGCCCCAGCTGGCATGGAACTCATTATGTAAATCAGGCTGACCTTGATTTCACAGAGATCTGCCTGCCCCTGCCTCCCAAGTGCTGGTATTAAAGGCATGTGCTATGGCTGTCGGAACCATGAACATGCAGCAGCTGTGACTACCTACCCACACATGCAAGCACACACTCACACATGTGTGCATGCATGTGCACACACACAGCACACAATGGAGGGGGGGATGAAATTAGAAGGGGAGAGTCTAATAGGAAAGAATGGAAGAAGGGGGTCAGTAGGATTGGGAAGATGATAAGAGACAGCATAGGAGGTGATGATTGCAATACATCAGATAAAAGACCCATCAAATGTTATACATTCAATTATTCCATGATTCAGGCAATGTACTGTGGGTACTAAGAAAAATCAAACACATCTATGTTAAGAATTGTACTTAAAATCTCTAATGGTTTTATTTTCAATAAGCTAAAACAATAGACTCAAAATGTCCATGATTGTGAAAAATGGTAGACCATACTTCCCAGAGTTAAAGAACCATGTATATAAGCAAAATTAATCTCACAATACATTTTCCATTGCATCCTGATGAACGATGAAAAAGATGGAAAATATTTCATGATTTCAATCACAGAAAATTCTGTAAAGTAAAAATTAACCAAATTGGAAATAGAGCAAAAGTTTTCCGAAGAGCACAAAGAGAAGTAGCAAGGCACAAAGTACACTTGTAGGTGATGGACATGATTGTGAGGACAGTTTTTTATAGGTTTATTTGTATCTCAACTTATTATAGTTTAAATGTGTTGCTTGTTGTATGTCACTGATGCTTTATTAAAAGCCTTGGAAACAAAAATGAAAATAAAACTATGGATTTCTGATGTTGGAAATCAGGTTTGACAATTTACCACCTTTTCCCTTGGGCCCCGGGGAAGAGAGGCATCTCCTTCCCTCAGTGGCTGTACAGATATAAGAAAACTATCTCCACTTGACGCGGCAAGAATGAATGCTGGCTGTACAGAGATCCCACCAGTGAACTAAGATTTCTGCTTCTCTCTAACCTGGTACTACACAGTTCAACAGCCTTGAGAAGAACACTCACAGGCTACAGAAATTAATAAAACCTATAGATGAACTCTGACAATGATCTTGGCTACATAATATGCAAAATTCTAGAGGTCCTCAGAATCTTAGCACATCTTTCATATCCATAGTGACAGATGCCCCATAGATAACAGGCTCTTCCAACCACTTTGTGGTGAACTCCTCCAGTCTCCATTAATTTGGCATTTTTTAAACAGTTATAATTCCTACTACAATCTTATAAAGTGTGACACCTATATGAACAACCTTATGAAATTCAGGATATACCAGCATGTGGAGCCTTTGTAGACTCAGGGAATAGGGTTCCACAGCCAGCACTGACCATAAAGCAGTATCCCCTGATCAAGATAATCATTTACGATGCTCTCAGAAGCAATCAGCTGTCTAAACTGCCATTGTCCTCATACTGACTCCGACCCTACATTATCTTGAAAAAAAAGGCAATACTCTGCAATTTTTACTTGAAGTCCTCAGGCAACAAAGCAACCAAACCCAAATTAAGAGAGTTTTATTCTGTCATTACACCTTTCTTTCTGGGAAAGAGTTTGGGATTCCAACAAAACTTTATGTTGGAAGAATTTAATGGTTTTTAAAGCACCCCAAACAGTTAATGGACGGCCCATGAGAAATGGTGTTTTAATTAAAAATATTTTGTTATTGTACAGATCGGAGCAATGCAAATCAAGGCTGATGCCACAGTTGATGATTTTGAGGCTGGAAAATTTCATTGAGTCATCTGAGATGAAGTATATCCTTGAAAAATGTCCTTTCAAGTCACTAGCAGCATATTCCAAGGCAAATGAGTTCAAGTCCATACTCTATCAAAAAAGATATAAAAAGAAATGAATGCTCAAGCTACTTACGAATTTCTTCTAAGAATGAGAGAACAAAGAAATTTACTTACCGAAAAGAATCTGTGGGTTCCTCCTTCAGGGTGCAGATGAAATGGCTTCTGCTACTGAACTAGCAGTGACATTATCTGTCAAGTGACAAAAGCAGGTTAAAAGACCATGCAGTTCCCACATACATGTAATTTATGGTTTGATTTACAAGGTTTTATTCACGCAGATGGAACTATAACCCTTCCAGAACTGCCACGGCACACCTCTGCACACCAAACGTACATTTTCCTTGATCATTTTCTGGTGTCTGCTGAGATACGGCCTTCAGGTGAACTTTCTCACATTCTCTGCTCTCATAAGGATTTTTCTAAGGCAAATTTTTCAGTGTGTAAAGGTTGGAGATTTCGGTAAATTTGTTCCACATTTGCCTTTCATAAAACATTTATCAACTGTGTATTTTCTGGTGCTTAATGAGGCTAGAGCTATAGCTAAAGCATTTTCCACATTCAGTGCATTTGTGACGTTTTTCCCCAGTGTGAATTCTCTTGTTTAATGAGGCTAGAGTTCTGAGTAAAATATTTCCCACATTCACTGCATTCGTAAGGCCTTAAGCCAGTGTGAACACTCTTGTGTTCAATGAGGCTAGAGTTTTGGGTGAAGGATTTCCCACATTCACTACACTCGTAAGGCCTCTCTCCAGTGTGAACACTCTGGTGATGAAGGAGGGCAGAGCTTTCACTGAACGTTTTCCCACAATTGCTGCAGTCATAAGGCCACTCTCCAGTGTGAACTCTCCAATGTTTAATGAGGTTGGACTTGTTGCTAAATAATTTCCCACATTTCTCACATTCATGAGGTCGAACTCCAGTGTGAACGCTCTGGTGCTGAATGAGGCTAGAGCTCTGTGTAAAGGATTTCCCACATTCCCCACACTTATAAGGCTTTTCACCAGTGTGAAGTCTCCAGTGATCAATGAGACTATAGCTTTTGTTAAAAGATTTTCCACACTGATCACATACATAGCTTCGTTGTTTAGAATTGGTTTTCTGTTGCTGAATAAGGGTATGTTTGTTGCCAAATGCTTTTGTGAATTCGCCATAATTTTGATGAATTTTTCCACACAGGTAGATGGCCACGATTCGACGACTACTTCTGTTTTCTGACTGTTCCTCAATATATGTGGACCCTTGATACAGAAACTCTGAGTTGGCTAGGAAGTCCTTTCTAACTTCCTTACAGGAAGAGGGCTCCACTGTCAAATGGGATTCACTGCTGTTCACAAACAAGGCTCTGTCCACATTGCTGCTGAAGCATTTCTCTCCAAAGAGCTGCTTTAGTTGCTGATAGAACAACTGTTTACCACACACCCCACATCTATACAATTTCTGCCCAAGTTATGTTCCCTGTTGGGGATGTGCAATATGTAAAATGTCCCTCAGCACCAAGCTACACATCACACAGGTGTGAGCCTTTTGGGAAGACAGACTGTCTTTGTAAGTACCAACTTGGGACGCTCCTTGTAAAGACACAGTCTGCTCAGACTGTGCCTCCTCATTCTCCACGCCATGTCAACAACCTAAAAGGAAGAAACAATAGTTTAGTGCACATTGACTTTGGTGGGGAGGGGCCAACTCTACAGAAGTATATGTCTGGCAGGTTGAGAGAGTTAGACTCGGGTTAAATGACCTACTTAGGAGCAGTAGTCTGTAAAGACAGAATGGGGGGAGAACATGAAAGGACACATAAGCAATAAAGAGAACAGAGGGTTTAAAACTCGATCCTCTGTTACAGGCAGAGGTTTTAGCAGAAACTCTTTTGTTGGTGACAAGAGTTGTGTGTGGAACGGTGTGTCCAATGCAAGAAAAAAGGATCTCAGTAGGGCAGTTTTCTTTTAAGGAGTCCTCCAGTATGTGTGCATATAGTGTGACATAATTTATTAGGGAGCACTTCAAATGGAGCATGGATAAAAAAGCAGGGGAGATGTGGAGTCAGGGCACACAGGGATTAGATCTAGGCTGGATGTAAGAGTAGAAGTGATAAAAAGTCAATAAACCAGGAAGGCAGTAAGAATGGCGAGAGCAAAGGCAGAAATGCGCTGTGGGCAATGGCACCAACAGCAGTTCTCTACTACGATTCGAACCTAGTCCTCAAGTCATTCTCTTACCCAGAACCAGGGTCCCTCAGCCCACCTTTCTGCTGTGATCATTCTGTGAACCATTGACAGCTACATGTTTCAGTCCCAAGACACACATATGGCACATAACTGAAGTCCTAAGCCCTATAGAAAAACAAGTAGCACTGATCCAGAAAAAAACTCAGCAAATGACATCTCAGAGGAAGAAAAGTACACAGTTTCAAAGGTACGCTCTACAAGAGACCGGGCTTGTGTCTGACAGTGCCAATGACAGGAATTCATGATTACTCTAAGGAACTTCTCACAGTCACTGCTCTCATAAGGCCTTTCTGTAGGGTGACTACTTTGATGCTAAACAGGAGTACAGAGGTGTCACTAAGGGATTTTCTATATTCGCTACACTCATAAACCACTATGTTCTATTTCATGAGCATTTTCTAAGGCTATTCAGTCAGAGAGAAGTAAAACCTAGGAAACACACTGCTTGAAATCTGAAAAATATCACTCAGTCATGGAAAGGGCAAACAGGGTGGGACACATCAGGGTGACTATACAACTGCTGACCCTGAAACCTTTCCTGTAAGGCTGCAGGGCAACAGGAGTTAAGAACAGGCCGTACTATGAGACTTATATCCCGGTAACAGGGAAGGCACAAATTAGCTCAGGGTACACAGCCATTAGGACCTTACCTAGGGAGGTTATAAGTGCCAAGTTCTCCAGCATCACATCACGGTACAGGCATTGTTGAGCCTCTTCAAGGAGACACCACTCCTCCAAGGAGAAGTGTACAGCCACGTCACCAAACGTCACACTGCCCTGTTATGATGGAGACAGAGTAAACTACAAACCTTCTGCACAAAATGTATTCCTCGACCTGTTTGCCTCATGTCCTACTTTTTCTTCCCAAGCTTCAAAAGTTGGGGGAGGAATCAGCTCCAGGGCTGCTGAATTCTCAAAGGTTCAAAGATCACAGCAACAACAGACAAGTGGACATTTAAATAACCAAGCTGGAGGCCTGGCATAGAAGGAGCTACACTCCTCCCTCAAGCAATCTAGGAAATACTCGAGGTCCTTTGAGTCTTGATAACGGTGCCTAGAGCTATAAGTGTCATTCCCTTCTGTAATGTGCATGATTTTTTTAGATTTCACATTTTTCAGACACCAAAGCCACCTGGCTATGGTCGTACTCCTCACTGGTCCACACCAAGGACATCTCTTGGATTTCCAAATGTGGTCTTGTTTTAATCATCTTTATTTCATGGGTGAGGGTAGGAACCCCACCCTAGTGTTAAGGATATAGACACACATATCTGGCACTGGAGAAACAGCAGTTCACTACTTATAAACACACAGGATCTGGGAGAAATGAACAAGACACATAGCACAGGACCACATGGAGATAAGGTGCAGGAAAAAACACAAACAACAACAACAAAACCCAAAATAAAAGAACTGACCAACCATGGGTTGTGGGTGCAAGAGGGGAATAAATGGAAATTACGCTTGGTGCCCTTGATAAAGATGGTTATCTACTGGGAGATACTGTCAACAGAAAAGCAGGAAGAGAGCTTGCATTTAGGGCATTTGATATCATTCCAATACCACCAGACATCAAAACACCAAAAATATTGGGCCTGAATTCTAAGCCTTGTATTGTGCCTTAGCATAATACATCCAGAGTATGCTTGACAAACTGAAACAGGATCTTCTTCAAGCTCCTACTACTGGAAGCAGATCCAGTTCCTATGAGAGCCTCTGGCTCCATTTTTGCTCCAGGCTTAAACTATATAGATGATATGCTCATCTCAGATTGCCATTTCTTTTCTGTACTTGTTGGTCAACCTCCCTCTATCAATCTATGAAGCAAACACCAGATCCACTACTCATGTGCTCTGGCCAAGTGACTATCACAGATGATTATATTCACAACTGGCCTTATTTTACAGACTGAATGAAATGCCTCAGGCTTCAAAGACATCACAAAATCCTGATTAAAGAACTGCACCAAGTCTAGCCAGAGTACTATGGTGCTTGAAATACACCTATACCCCTCCATCGATTTCCCAACCGAATGCATTTGCCAGAATATCTGCCTTCGTGGATACTCATGTCCTGTACCTATTTGTAAAGTCCAATACTGTTATCTAATTATTTAATCAACAGGCCCCAGTCCTTAACTCCATCTACCCATTCCAATGTAACTTAATAGCTCATGCTAGGCAAGTGATCTCCCACTGAGTCTGTATCTGCAGTTGTACCATAACTTGAAGACTGCCTATCCTAAATGTATACACAGCTCACTCACTTTAGTTGACAAAATAGGTACTAGATTTTGGATCTCTCCATTCTCAACCACTTAGCATATTTCAAAAACTGTTTCTTTTAGAGCCTTTATTTATTGATTTATTTAGTCTTTTTTGAGACAGGGTCTCTCAGTAGCCACAGCTGGCCTGGGTTCACTATGGAGACCGGACTGGCCTCAAACTCACAGAAATCTGCCTGCCTCTGCCTCGCAAGTGCTGGGAATAAAGGTGTGCACCACGATGCCCGGCTACAGCCTTTATGTTTAATTCCATCACCACTTACTGTTCTCTGAAACATCTCAGTCTCTTAACACGACCAGGTGAACGTTTTTGATGACCCCAGTGAATACTGCTCTTTATATTAACATCTCAGTTGACAAAACTTGTATTCCTATGAAAACCACTTACTCATTCCTGAATGCTATTTCAAATTCTTCTCATTAGAAAACTTATTTTTCATTTAAAAAACTCACATTCAGAATGTAATCACATCTTCTGAGCCATGACTCTAGTCCATTAATCCTTTGATGGTCTATGGCAGAAGCCTCCGCCCTGACTTTCCTTCCTTCTTTCACTGTACAACCTGTTCTCCATTCTGCAGAGATGCGAATTTACCGCCTTAGTAAAATCATTTTTCTTCTCCCCCAAAACAACCTATGACCTCCAGGAAAGACACCCAACTTCCCAGCAGTCACTGCTCCACGCTGTCCCTACTTTATCCCCCTTCCACCGTTGCTGACACCGGCTTCCAGAAACAGGGCACCTCCAAATAACCTGTGGCAAAGACTTGGGATGGAGTTTCTCTGGGGCACCGAAACAGTAAGAGAGTCCCAGAGCACCACAGACGTTGGTGAGGACCCAGGCCAAGGAAGTTGGACCACTCTCTACTTCACTCTGTGGTTCCCAGGTCCTTCTACAACCATGAAAACCAAGGAAACGGGGACTAGGCGACTGCAATATGATGGGACTCAAGTGAGTCGTGTCTCCCTATATCTTGACTGGCTGTGAAATCAGCTGACCCTGGAATGCATTCTTACTTCCCTGGCTCAGTGCTGTCCTTTCTGGTTTCGTTTGGTTTTGTTGAGATAGGGTCTCCCTGTAGCCCCACTGGCCTGGAACTCGCTATGTAGACCAGGTTGGCCACCATCTCAGAGATCCCCCCTGCCTTTGCCTCCCGAGTGCTGGGATTAAAAGCCTAGGCCACCTCGCCCGGCAATGTTGTCCTTTCTTAAAGCCCAGGCCCACTGAAAAATATGCCACCTGATAGTTTCCATGCCTTCACCCTTTCCACTCTGCTCCTCCTTTAACAGTCTTCGAGGAACTTTAAAATCCCCAACAAAAGTTGTCTTTCGTTTGCAGAAACTGCACCGCTTCTACATGAAGTCACAACTCTCAGCGTTCAGGAGCAATTTTCATCTCATATTGTTTCCTACTGACTGTCATTTTCTGTTTCCTATGGCAGAAGGCGGTTTCCAGAACTCCAGAATATTCCCAGGTTAGCTCCCCCTCAAAGCCTTTGCACGGGATATGCCATTTCCTGGAGGATCCAGCACTCACCTGCGCCGGGCTCCTCAGAGCGGCCTCCGCCATCCGACCCTGCGGGTGCAGCGGGGACCTGGACACGGCGGTCGCCATGTGGGTCACGTGGGCGGTGTCGCTGGGCCTCACACCCACCTTTGTGAGGAGAAAACCGCGGCTGCTCTAAATCTTTGTCAGGTCACCCAGCACCCAAGATACTGTAACCAGGTAGAATATGCCGGAACTACGTCATAATCACCCACCAAGACACCAGAAGTCCCACCCTTCTCATGTAGCCTCCCCTAGCGCAGAGCGTTTCAGGTATTGTAGTTTTTCATAGATCTAGAGTTCGCGCCTGTGGTGCTGTGGGACGTTCTTAAGTCCCAAGATAGAGGGATTCTCCAGTCCAAAAATGGCTGGAACATTAAACAGATAGATATCTGAGGAACAGTCATTCGAACGTTTCCAGACATCGTTTCAGGCTCCGTGAAGCTCAATATGCTCCCCAGGGGCTAAATAATTCAGATGGCCCCCAAGGCCTCATACCAAACACAATACTGTTTTCTAGAGCCGTTCTGATATGAGACGTGACATTGGTGGTTAATAAAATTATCCCAGTGCAATTAAATGCGTAAGCCCTGAAGCATCTGAAGTCACTTTGCCAATTTGTGCATTTTCTGCCCAAAACAGAACAGCTTATCTGGAAGATAAGAAACTTGGGACTATCAACAAGCAGTAATACAAAGATAGATCTGACTCCCACAGGATAAGTCTCTTTGGCCTTCATAAGTGATTATTTTGTCCGGTACTTTGAGTAACATATTTGTGTGTGTGTGTGTGTGTGTGTGTGTGTGTGTGTGTGTGTCTATGTGAGTGTATGCCACATGTGGCTGTGCCTGTGGAGGTCATAAGAGGGTGTTTATCTCCCTGGAGCCGAAATTACTGATAGCTGCGTGTTGCCTACTTAGGTGCTAGGAACTCAACTCAGGTCCTATGGAAGAGCAGTAAGTGCTCTTAACTGCTGAGCCAACTCTCCATCTCCTGATATAGTGTATTCCTTGAGGGCTGTAACATCAGTATAAACAATGAACAATGAAAAAATGTTGCTATCTTGGTACAGGACACATGGAGGACATAGCAATTAATAAGAGTACCAGGTTAAAACAACAACAACAACAAAACAACAAAAACCAGCTGGCTAGGTGTTGGTGGGTGGGGACATCAGCTACTCAGCACTGGAGGATGTAGAACTCAGACTGTTACTTTCATCTGTGTTCCCAACTACAGGGCAAGTGAGTAAGAACCCTCGTTTTACTCCTTGGAGCCTTTCTTAGTTGGAGCTTTGGAACCAAGCATCTCCACCTTTCAAACAGCAGTGTTCTCCTAGTTTGATCCCTGAACATTCAGGATCATTGTCACCTTAAGACTCAGTAAAATGTACACTTTCAACTGAACCCAGACTTAATGAACCAGGAATTCTGAGTCAAGCCCTAACACCAATTTTAGCAAATTTCCAGGTGATCTTAATAAACATTCAAAAATTTTCCATCTTTCTGGTGTGCATCCTGCAGAACTAGGTACCTGGATTTCTTGAAAATAGGAATTCTGTATAAATTTCCCAAGAAAAATGTGAATCAGTATATATTTATCTTCATAAAAGTATGTATAGGGCTGGATTGAAGCTCATTTAAAGAGTGCTTACCTAGCATGTGCAAAATTCTGTATTCAATTCCTAGCACCAAAAAGAGAATATTATGAAGCTGTACTTCCTGTCATTAAAAAGCTACTACTGAACTACATTATCTGAAAGTATTAGGTGTCAAAAGTCTTGGATTCTTCTACCTTCTGGATGAGAATAATGTCTCCAATATTGTATCCTTTCAGAAATGTGGCTGCACACGGATACATTATCCATCTCCTGTCACGTGCATGTGTGTTGCTAAGTAGGAGGACCTTAGCCTGAGATTGTCTTATTTTCATTTATATGTGTGTATGTCGCTATGTCCACTTTGAGTGCCTATGTAATGAATGAACTGTAACTTAACAAAATAGAAACCCGATCCTAACCTGAGAGTGTAACAAATGGTTGAGATTCAATCTTTATCAATTGGATTTCAGTCATAGGCAGTTGACTCATCACATGATGCCCAAATAAACTGATTGATATACATGTAGCCAATAAAAATTTCTTTCCCTCTCTTTGCTCACATTCATATGTAGAGCCATATGAATCTCCACTGGTTTAGGGTGCTGCTTGATTTATGAGGTTCAAACTCCATTAAGTGTAATTCATCTAAACCTTTTTTGGCAATATGTTGGAGACTGTTCCTAAGTAAGGTGATTTTCTTAGTAAAAATAAAGCATCTCCTATCCACAGACATGTACTTTGTTATTTTTACCTAGATTTATGTTGGATAACCTAAAGCTACTCCCTCATTTATACTTAAAATCTCCTTATTTCCAAAGTTATAGCTAAAGTCACCTTTTTAAAAAAGATTTCTTTGCATTTCATTGTTTACTTGGTCTGTGTGGCATAGCTTCAGGGGACAAATGAAGTCCAACTTCCAGGACTATGAAAACTAGACAGGAGAGATAAAGCTTTGAAGCCAGCTTGATTTCTTCTATTTGTTCTATACCTCATGTATGTAGTGTTTTCAACAAAGGTCTTAAATCAAGTTCTTGTGGGAAACCAAGAGCAGAGGCAATGGCCCATATTGTTTGAGGGTTTATGGGATTCTTGGTCAACAGCTTCAAAAGAGGGAGTCTGTCCCTGGCACTGGGCTTTTACTTTGTTAACCTATATTGTCTAGTTTGGGCCATGCCACCTTCTTATAATGTAACTCCTTTTAGTTTCTTTTTATAATGTATATTTATATACTTTGCAAAGCTTCTATAGTGGTAGGGTGTGGTGTGGCTTTTTCTAAAGGCTTTTAGTGTTAGTTACCCCTCCCCAAACTCCTTTCTGTGCCCCGCCTTCCCATTTCCCAACCCATCTAACCCTCCTACTCTATTCTGCCTTTCCCCTTGTATCTCTATGCTCTACCTCCCTTCCCATGAAGTCTTCCCCCATGTTGTTTATTAGTTTCCTGATTTTCCAAACTGAAACATACATATCTAAGAATTCAAAGCTAGCATCCAACTAAGAGAGAGAACATGCAATGTGTGTCCCTCTCTTGGTCTTGGCTACCTCACTCAGGATAGTATCTTGCAATTCCATCCATTTACCTGAAATTTTCATAATCTCATCTTTTAAGAGCTGAATATTCCATTGTGCATAAGTATCATGCTTTCATTTTCCATTTATCAGTTGATGGGCATCAAGGTTGTTTGCGTTTCCTGTCTATTATGAAAAGGGAAGCAATGAACATGGATGAACAGGCATCTCTCTAGTAGGGTATAGTCTTTTAGGTATGTGCCCAAGATTGATATGGATGGAACATATGGTAGATTAATTCCTAGTTGTTGTTTTTTTAATAATCTCCACACTGATTTCAGTGGTGAAACCAGTTTGTAATCGCACCAGTAGTGGATAAGTTTTGCCCCTTTCCCACATCCTCACCAACATTTGCCATTGTTCGTCTTTTGGATTTTATCCCTTCTCAGTGGAGTAAGATGAAATCTCAAAGTGGTTTCAGTTTGCATTTCCCTGGTGACTAAAGGTGTTGAACATTTAAAAAATATTCCTCAGCCATTTGAGTTCATCTTTTGAGAACTCCCTTTTCAGCTCTTTGCACCAGTTTTTAACTCTTTGGTTTTGTGGTGTTTAATTTCTTTATATATTTGAGACACTAGCCCTTTGTCGGAGTTATAACTGGTAAAAATATTTTCCCATTCTGTAGGTTGCCTCTTTGTTCAAGTGATGGTATCCTTTGCTGTGCAGCAGCTTTTTAATTTCATGAGATCCCATTTGTCAATTGACAGACTTAATGCTTGTGATGTAGGTCTGTTCAGAAAGTCCTTTCCAGTGCCTGTAACTTCCCATGTATTTTCCACTTTTTCCTATCAGATTCAGGGTATTGGATCTTATGCTGAGGTCCTTGATTCATGTGGAGAGTTTTGTAGATGGTTAGAGAGGGACCCAGTTTCCTCCTTCTACATGCAGCTATCTAGTGTGATCACCACCATTTGTTAACGCTGTCTTTGCTCTAGTGTGTATTTGTGCCTCCTTTATGAAAAACTGGTAGCTATAAATGCATGGGTTTAAATCTGGGTCCCTAAGTCTATTCCACTGATCAACGTGTCTGTTTTTATGCCAGTATAATGCTGTTTTATTAGTAGAGCTCTGTTGTATGATTTTGAGATCAGGAATGATAACGGCTCTGGCAGTTTTCTCACTGTTTGAAATTATTTTGGCTAGTCTGGATTTTTGTGTATCTATATGGAATTTGAGAGTTTTTTCAATTTCTGTGAAGAATTTTATTTGAATTTTCATGAGTCCTGAATTGAAATTGTAGATTGCTTTTGGTAGGATGGCCATTTTCACAGTATCAACCCTAACAATCATGAGTATGGGAGGTCTTTCCAGCCTGTATTTTTCACACCATGTAAGCATTATTTCTCTCTAAACTCACTCCCACTGTATAACCCTCCTTAATCCCTCTCCAGCTAATGTACTCCCCCTTTTCTCTTTCCCCCTTGTTAATACCTGTCTTTGACTATCCCCCTCTCCTGAGCTCCTTTTTCCCTTTTACCCCCACAGTTCACTTCCATTTTCCTGGCTTCTGCAGATACTATACTCACATCTAAGGATTTGCAGTTAAGATCCACAAATAAGAGAGAACATAGGTTGCTTGTTTTTCTGATTCTGTTACTTCACTGAGTATTAATAGCTTCTAGCTCCATCCTTTGCAAGTTTCATGATTTTTCTTCACTGCTGAGTAGAACTCCATTGTGTGTGTACTTTTTCATTATCAGTTAAGGCTTGTCCCAATTTTTAGCTGGGTTGTTTTCTAAATGTTTAGTTTTTAGAAATTCTTTGTATATTCTGCATACTAACCCTTATCAGATGTCTAGCTGACACAGACTTTCTCTCATTCTGTAGGCTGCTTCTTCACTGGAATGACATCTTTTGATGTACAGAAACTTTTTGGTCTCATGTGCTTCCATATGTGAATTATTGGCCTTAGTACCTGCACTCTCAGGGTCCTATTCAGAAGGTCCTTATCTTGTGAGTGAAGGCCTTGCATAGTATAAGTTCATTTCCTTCAAGTTCTGCAACCTTTCTTTGAAATCCAGAGAACAGTCTTCCCTCCTCCAGGTGCTCCCACTGGGTTTTTAACGGGAACAGTTTGCACCATGCCATGAGCCAGTGCTCATCATCTCTATTCATGAATGTTTGTACAGGTGCTGACATTTGTTTATACTGCCAAAGGCTTCATTTGTTTAAAAATGTTCATATAGCTTAATTATTTTTTTTTCTCTTGTTTTAAGATAGGGTTTCCCTGTAGCCCCGGCAGGCCTGGAACTTGGTATGTATTCCAAGCTGGCTGAATCTCATAGAAATCCACCTGACTCTTCCTCTGGAGTGCTGGGATTAAAGGTATGTGCCACCAGACCCAGCTCTACTTAAATAACTTTTGCTAATGTTCTATTTACTGGGTTTGTTTTTTGATTAGTGGACACTTACTAAATATGCAAATTTTCTTGAATGGGTATTGCCATTGAAAGAGACAAGCATGTTTTTTTTTTTGTTTTTTTTGTCTTTTTTGAGACAGGGTCTCTCTCTATAGCCTCAGTTGGCCTGGAACTCGCTATGTAGACCAGGCTGGCCTCAAATTCACAGAAATCCACCTGCCTCTGCTTCCCAAGTGCTGGGATTACATATTTGTGTCTTTCAATGGTGTTAGAATTTGGTGAACATCAACAGATTCACAAGGTTTGTCAGTTCTGTTGCTTTACTTCACTAATTACTCTTGGTACCTGTGACAGCTGCAATTACAAGTTCTTTGTCCCTTTCAAGTCTTAATTAGTGATATATAACACTCAAAGCACACATCATATTCCACACAATGATACACAGCTTATAGAAAAGCTTTGGAGTAAGGAGACTAAGACATGTTTAAAAGGCAGTGCAAGGAGTTGAAACAGCCAGTAGAAATGTACAGTCAGTGCAGACTGTGAGGCGCTGGGCTAAAGAATGTAGAGCTGTCAGCAGCAGGCAATGGGAAACCAGCACAAAAAAGCACATGGAACTGAGACGATCACAAAGGGAAGATTGCTGCCTGGCAAAACTTTAGGCAGAGGCTGTGACAAATACACTGGAAGTGTCTGTGGTCACATGGCAGCCTGATGCACGGCACTGTTTGTACATGTTCCTCCTTCTATGTGTCTTTGGTGAGAGGTTTGCATTATGTGTCGGTCCATGCAAAAGCTCACATGCAAGCTGGTGGTAGAGCATTCCCTAGCAAGGCCCTGTGTTCAATTCCTAACACACACACACACACACACACAGAGCACAAACATCAAAAGCCTGGTTTTTCTAATATACTACAGTAAGACCCATGTCTATATATCGAATTTAATTCAATCAGCACAGAGGTGGCAATTTTTTATTCATATGCATAAATAATTTACCAGTCTGGGTCATTTGATTGCGGTAGGCAGATGGTGACTAAGTTCTTGCACCAGCCAGTTTCAGGGTCATTCTACCTTGGTCTATGCATGTAACCTGGAGTAGTTCAGAGCAATCCTTTACTCTGTAGAAAATGGAATACCTTACGGCAAAAATGGGGTCATTTATGACATGAAGTTTTATGAAAATAATTTATAATAGCCTCTTCAAATAACTACAGGAATTTACTTTTTAGTATGTATGTGTGGTATATATACATGTGCACGTGTGTGGGCACACTTGTGTGCTGAGGCATGTGCACATGTGTACCCATATGTGTGGGGGCCTGAAGTTGATATTGGATGTCTTCCTTGATTACTCTCCACTTCATTTTTTGAGGCAGAGTCCTCAATGAATACAGAGCTTACAGATTAGTAAATCTTGCTAGTAAGATTACCTTGAAGATCCCCGGCCTCTGTCTCTGGGCTGTTGAGATTAATGGTGTCCACTATAGCTGGCTGGCTTCTATGTCAGTTCTGGGGATCTGAACTCAGGTCCTCATGCTTTCACAGCATTTTATCCACTGAATTATCATCCAAAGAGATGAGAATAACACTAGCTGCTAAGTGGCAGGCTACTAGCAAAGCACAAAGCAATAAGCCTTTAATCTGAGCACCTGCAGCCTAGAGTGATAAATTTTCTAATTCTCAAGACTTGGAGCTGAAACTGAATCTGTCAGCACAGCCTAAAACCTTCGCCACTCGTGGTTCAGATCAGCTAATACTTGAAAGATACTTTTCATCTACTCACAATTTCTGTAAGAGTAGAGCAAAAGGACCCTAAATCATAGGACCGCTAGTATTCCTGACGCCATCTTCAGTACTGACATCACCTCAGCAGTTTGAAATTGGCCCTGATGGGAGCATTCACCCTATGGAAAGTGGCAAATGCAAATGATTACATAACTTACCATACCAGGTATTATCTAGAATTGGAAAGTGCTAATACACAAACATTAAAGACTAACTTTCAATGTTCAAAAGGAATTATTCCTTACAAGTATGTTATGCCATACATTAATTTCTAATGTTTTTGCTACAGAACTAGCACTGACATGATTTGCCAACTGACAATAGCAGGTTAAAAGGCAATGCAGTTCCCACAAGTGCATAATTTATGGTTAGACTTAAAAGGTTTTATTCAAGCAGATGGAAATTATAATAAACTCTCCAGAATTGTCATAGCACATTTTTAAAAATAAAAGGTACCTTTTTTCTTCTTAAATTTGTGGTGTTCACTGAGATATGGCCTTTGGATAAACTTTCTCACAATCACTGCTCTTATAACTTTTCTAGGGCAATTTTTTCCCCTGTGTAATAAAGCTGGTAGCTTTCATAAGGCCTTTATGGACTATGAATTTTACAGTGTTTAATGCGGCTAGAGCTATGGCTAAAGCATTTTCCACATTCAGTGCATTCATGAGGATTTTCCCCAGTGTGAATTCTCTTATGTTTAATGAGGCTAGAGTTCTGAATAAAAGATTTCCACATTCACTGCATTCGTAAGGCCTTGAGCCAGTGTGAACACTCTTGTGCTTTTGAAGACTTGAAATGTAGGTAAAGGATTTCCCACATTCATTGCATCCATAAGGTTTTTCTCCAGTGTGAACTCTCCGATGCTGCAGAAGCGCCGAACTTTGACTAAAAGATTTCCCACATTCACTGCACTTGAAAGGCCGCTCTCCAGTGTGAACTCTCTTGTGTTCAATGAGGCTAGAGTTTTGGGTGAAGGATTTCCCACATTCACTGCACTTATAAGGCCTAGATCCACTATGAACTTTCTGGTGCTTTATAAGACTTGAATAATAAGTAAAGAATTTCCCACATTCGCTGCACTCATAAGGCCTCTCTCCGGTGTGAACACTCTGGTGCTGAAGGAGGGCAGAGCTTCCTCTAAAAGTTTTCCCACATTTGCTGCAGTCATAAGGCCGCTCTCCAGTGTGAACTCTCCAATGTTTAATGAGGTTGGACTTGAGGCTAAATAATTTCCCACATTTCTCACACTCATGAGGTCGAACTCCAGTGTGAACACTCTGGTGCTGAATGAGGCTAGAGCTCTGTGTAAAGGATTTCCCACATTCCCCACACTTATAAGGCTTTTCACCAGTGTGAAGTCTCCCATGATAAATGAGACTATAGCTTTTGTTAAAAGATTTTCCACATTGATCACACACATAACTTTGTTCTTTAGAGTTGGTTTTCTGACACTGAACAAGTCTGTGTTTGTCACCAAATGCTTTTGTGAATTCTCCAAAATTTTGATGAATTTTTCCACAGTGATTGATGGCCCCATGATTACTTTTGCTGTCTGAGTTTTCCTCAATGCAAATGGCCCCTTGATAGAGAAACTCTGAGTTGGCCAGGAAGCCCTTTCTAACTTCCTTACAGGAAGAGAGCTCCACTGTCAAATGGGATTCACTGCTGTTCACAAACAAGGCTCTGTCCACATTGCTTCTGAAGAATTTTTCTCCAAAGAGCTGCTTTAGTTGCTGATAGAACAACTGTTTACCGCAAACCCTGCATCTGTACAATTTCTGTCCGAGATGTGTTCCCTCTTGGGGATGTGTAATATGCAAAATGTCACTCAACACCAAACTACACATCACACAGGTGTGAGCCTTTTGGGGAGACAGACTGTCTTTGCAAGTACCAACTTGGGATGCTCCTTGTAAAGATACAGTCTGCTCAGACTGTGCCTCCTCATTCTCCATGCCATGCCAACAACCTAAAAGAGAAAACAGTAGTTTAGTGCATGCTGACTTTGATGCGGAGGGGCCAATTCTACAGAAGTATGTGCTGGGCAAACCCAGGAACAAATCCACGATAATGTTCACAGGATAGAGTGAGATTTAGATTCAATGACATACTTAGGAATAGTAGTCTATAAAGATAGAATGAGGGACCCTTGGTGGAATGGTATGTCCAGATCCTAGAAAAAGGCAAACCCAGGAACAAATCCACGATAATGTTCACAGGATAGAGTGAGATTTGGATTCAATGACATACTTAGGAATAGTAGTCTATAAAGATAGAATGAGGGAGCACATGGAAGGATGTTTATGTGATAAAGACAACAGAGGTTTTAAAACTAGACCCTTGGTGGAATGGTATGTCCAGATCCTAGAAAAGTAATAGAGCAGCTGTCCTTCAAGAACTGTTTAAGCATGTGTGCATACCTTATGACATCATTTATTAGAGAGTAATTCAAATGGAGCACTGAGAAAATCCGGGGAGATGTGGAGTCTAGAGACATGAGGATTAGAGTAGAAGTGATAAGTATGAGTGACCAAACTGCCTAAGCATCAAGAATATATTAAGAGGAAAATCAAGAATGAGCTATAGTCAGTGGCACCCACACATAACATAGGTTATGTACTATGAGTCACACCCAGCCCTGAAGTCATTCAGTTACCCAGCATCAGATCCTCTCTGTCCACTTTGCTACTGCTGGATTTGCAATCATCCTGTGGACCACTGATGGCTACCTGCTTCATTCCCAAGACAAATAAATGCATGGCACCCAGGTGGTGATACAAGTCTTAAAAGGGAAGGGGTAGGGAATGATGTGATGATGACAGAAGAGCAAACAGCACTGACCCAGAAAAAACTCAGCACGTGACACCTCAGAGGAACAAAAGTACAAAAAGAAAACCTCAAAGGAAGGTCTTGAAGAATCCAGGCCTGGGTGTTTGACAATGCAAACAGCAGTAATCTGGGATTACTTTAAACATAAAGCCCTAGCTTTGATTTCCTTCCCGCAGCATTTTCTCATGTTTGTCAGAGAAAGGAAGCAAAATCTAGCAAACAACATGGGCTTAAAAACAGGAAAAAGTCACTCGGTCATGGAAAGGGCAAGCAAGGTGGGACTTATCAGAGTGACTATACAATTGCTGGCCCTGAAACCTTTCCTGCACAGAAATCAGGCTGCAGAGAAATAGGACTTTATACTAGAAAAGATACATACACTTCAGTTTTACCAATATGTACACAGGAACTGAGAGGAAACTGAGAGCCTATGGTACTGAGGTAAGAACAGACCCTGCTATGAGACTTTCCCCTGGGCAAAGGGGGAAAGGCACAAAGTAGCTTAGGGTACATGGGTATAAGGACCATACCTAGGGAGGTAATTAGTGCCAAGTTCTCCAGCATCACATCACGGTACAGGCATTGTTGAGCCTCTTCAAGGAGACACCACTCCTCCAAGGAGAAGTGTACAGCCACGTCACCAAACGGCACACTGCCCTGTTATGATGGAGACAGAGTAAACTACAAACCTTCTGCACAAAATGTATTCCTCGACCTGTTTGCCTCATGTCCTACTTTTTCTTCCCAAGCTTCAAAAGTTGGGGGAGAAATCAGCTCCAGGGCTGCTGAATTCTCAAAGGTTCAAAGATCACAGCAACAACAGACAAGTGGACATTTAGATAACCAAGCTGGAGGCCTGGCATAGAAGGAGCTACACTCCTCCCTCAAGCAATCAAGGAAATACTCAAGGTCCTTTGAGTCTGGATAACAGCGCCAAGGGCTGTAAGGGTCACTCCCTTCCCTAGTGCACATCATTTTTTAGTTTATGCATTTTTCAGATACTCTAGCCCCATGGCTATGACCACAATACCTCACTGCCCCACAAGATGGATAGCTCCTGGATTTCCAACACGGGGTCTTATTTTAATCATCTCCTCTTTATTTCATGGGTGAGGGTAGGAATCCCACCCTAGTTTCAAGGATATGGACAAGGGCATAATGTCTGACAGTAGATAGGTTAAATATCGGTTTACTAATCACATATACATAAAGCCTCCAAGACCACAGCACAGGACCACATGGACATACAGCTCTAGCACCTCCAAAATAGGCGCCCAGCTTCTCAGACACTGCACACTGCTATCCCCATTTCTTCCTCCTGTGCTTTGTTTTCACCTAAAAGAACAAAGCAGAATAGACACTACTGCTGTTTTCTTAACTTCCTGCTTAGTTTTATATCTAAGCATTTGCATATCCACTAACACTTCTGGGCATAACCTTCCACAGACATTTACACTGCTTCCCAGAAATGGGGTACCTCCAAATAACCTGTGGCACAGGCTTAGGATCTGGGTCTCGGAGTTTATCTCCTGCACCAAAACAAATGAACAAACCACCAGAAGAATGGCATTTAAAAGAGTCCCAGAGCAGCACAACCCAGACAACATGTTGGTGGGGACCCAAGGCAGAGAAGTTAGACAACTTTTTACCTCACTCTGAGGTTCCACGGGTCCTTCTACAGTCAGGAGAACCATAAAACTAGGACCAGGCTAATGCAACCACGATAGGGCTGAAGTAGGTTATATCTTCCTATACCCTTACTGACTGTGGCATCAGCTGACCCTGGGCTGGTAATCTTACTTTCCTGGCTCAATGCTGTCCTTTCTGGTTTGGTTTGGTTGAGACAGGGTCTCCCTGTCGCACTGGCTGGCCTGGAATTCACTAGGTAGATGAGACACGCCCCTGCCATTGGCTCCAGTGTGCTGGAATTAAAAGCCTACGCCACCACGGCCGACAAGGCTTTCCTTTCTGAAAGACCAGGGACACTGAAAAACACACAGCCTCCAAAGTTTTCCACGTCGTCATCACCTTTTTCCACATCCTTTTCCTTTCGACATCTTCGAGGGACTTTTAAAACATTTACAAAAGGTGTCTTTCCTTTGCTGAAAACTACATTTCGCATCTACAGGAATCACAACCCTCGGATAGTTTTTCGGAATTATTTTCATTTCATATATATTACATTTATTATATTATATATTATAGGCTATATATTATGGTTTATATATATTATATATTATAGTTCCCTATAGTCATATTCTGTTTTCTGTAGAAGGCGGTTTCGAGAACTCTGAATAGTCTCAGGTTAGCTCCACGTGAAAGTTTTGCAGGGGGACATGCAGTTGCCTAGGGGATACACTACTCACCTGAGCCGGGCTCCTCAGAGCGGCCTCCGCCATCCGACCCTGCGAGTGCATCGTGAACCTGGTCACGGCGGGTGCCATGTGGGTCACGTGGGCGGTGTCGCTGGGCCTCACACCCACCTTTGTGAGGAGAAAACCGCGGCTGCTCTAAATCTCTGTCAGGTCACCCAGTATTCCAAAGTCTGTAGCCAGGTAGGATACACCTTAGATACTTCAAAATGGCCGCCACGAAAGCAACGGAAGTTCCCTTTCCACGTTTCCTCCCCCGAACGTGCGGCATTGTGGGTAATGTAGTTTTTTATAGATCTAGGGTTCAGGCCTACGGTGCTCTGCAAAGTGCTATAGCAAATCCAAAGGGAAATGGTTGTAGAGATTGTTTCAGATTCCATGAAGCTCGGCTTGCGCCCCAGAGACTAAATATCTTATTTCAGATGGTTCCCAAGGCTGCATACCCAAACATAATACTGTGTGCTAGAGCTGTTCAGACATGAAACGTGACAAAATGTGTGCATTGGTGGTTAAGGCAATAATATTAACTTTCTGGAATTAAAATGCACGGGCCCTGAAGCATATAAAGTCTTTTTGCCAGTTTGTGTATGTTCTGCTGAAAACAAGAGAAAAACTTACTCCAGACAGTAACATAACAGCTTATCTGGAAGATACAGAAATTTGGGACCACCATCAAACAAAATACAGAGGTAGATCTGCGTGACTCCCAAAGAAAATACCTCTTCTACCATCATAGTTGATTATTTTGTACAGTTGAGTGACATTTTTATCCACCCAATGTCTTTTACTTGATATAAGTGATATATTCAGTTTTTAATTTAAAAATTCATATTTATTTTATGTATGTGTGTATGTATCTGCATCCACTTTGAGTTCCTAATTAATGAGCCAGAACTTAACAAAGCATAAATAAACCAAAGCCTGACTTAAGACTATAACAGATAGTTGAATTTCAGCCACTGCATTACCTAATAGTGTCTGGTCCACAAAAGGAAGAGCTTTACAAAGTGGATGAAGGAACACATGAATGTATTGGAGACCATGACCCATCAGAATTTTTGACAATTTTAGAAAAATTACATTTTCATACAGTGAAAAAAATTCAGCCTAGAGGCAGAGTTTTTATCAATGATGAGACCAAAGGGACTAAAAGTAGGAAAACAAGTTTCTAGGAAAGTAAATACTGTTATGGCCTATAGACTTGGATTATCAAAGAATACTGTGTAAAGAACCAGGATGGAAAAGAGATTGGGTAGAAGGTAAGGAAGGCAGACACCAGGATGAGGATGGGTTGGGTGGCATTGGTCTCAGGGGAAATTCTAGGAGAATGTTGGGAATTGTGAATGTACTGAATTTGACTCTTGTGCCTGTAGAGGATGGTCACCATGGAGCCACTAGCCCAGGCCATGAGACCCAAACACTGACCGTCAGTGAAGCAGAACAGAAACATGTACATTGTATCTGCAATGATGCCAGAAACAAACCCACCACAGTATCTAAAACTGAATCTGTTAGTTTCAGTTCTGTTATTATGAGCAGCAGCCACTCTCATGGTAATAATGCTGTTCAGAAGCAGGTGCACGAGCCAGCTGAGGGAACAGCAGGGACCAATGTACTTGGCGACTGTGTGTTTAAACTTCACCTGCTGTTACTGGGGCTGATTTTGATGGCTTGGAAGCAACTCAGGGGCAGGTGGTACACAGGGAGACATCCCTGGGATATTCGATTGAAGAACACTGAAAGTTTACACATAAGGTCATCAAGGAAATATTTTAACCTGAATTCTGACATTATTTGGGAAACCCCTCTTGAAATAATAGACGAGAAGTTGGCAAAAGTCAAGTGCTTTATAATCAGGTCTTTGCACCTCAAACTTTTTCCAGTGAACATTGAGAAGAAGTAATGAAGGAGAGCTGACCAGTTGCCCAGGATTCCCACAGCTGTCTTGGAGAAGAAGATCCCCATTGCTAAGGAATTATCCTTTATCACTCTAAAAAGAATTGAAAAACTATCAGTGTTAACCAATTCAGAAGGAGAGAATTGTTTTGTTTCTAGACTAATCTGTTCACTATCATTATAAATCTTTCCCATTGACAAATATGTTTTAATAGTTTATGTTAAGAAATATTTTATGTCGTGCTTACTAATTTGTATTTTAAATATTCTATTTTGATTATTTTGTGTGTATGAGTGTGCTGCCTGCATGTATGTAAGTGCACCTGTGTTGTGCAATGCCCAAAGAGGTCAGAAGAGGGCATCAGATTCCCTGGAACTGGAGTTGCAGACAGTTGCTAGCTGCCATGTGGGTACTGGGAATCAAACCCAGGTCCTTTGCAAGAGCAGCCAGTATTCTTAACTGCTGAGCCATCTCTCCAGCCCCTAATTTGCATTTTAAACACTTAATGATTGAGACTTCCGCACAATTTCCAGTCTAAAAACTTCTGCTCATTCATCAAAAGCCTCCCCTTATATAAATAAAGCATTGCTCATAAATGTTCATTGTGACAAGCAAAAAACTGTCTGAGCCCTGCTGTGCAGAGAGCTGAGAGAGACAGTGCTTAGAAACACTGAGTTGGCAGAGAAGGGAAACTCAGAGAAAGCAGTTGCAGAAACGCCCTATAGCCATGCTCCCTGTGCAGTGCTCTTCATTCGGTCCCAGGATCTGTTTCAGCTGGGATGTGCCATTACTGGACAGCAACATGGCAGGTCCTTGCTGTTGGGGTGTGAATGTCACAAGACTCTTCCTCTGCTTCCTTCTAGAGTCCTGGGTTTGTGTTCTAACACTGTACACTCAGAAGTGGACAATGATCCACTTTCTCCACTTGGATTTCAATCAATAACAATTTTCAGGGTTTGGAATAATTTACTAATACTGAATACTGTTTTTCTCCTGATGTTATTTAACTTAAAGTAGGAGAGTATTCATGGTCCTTAAACATTCTCTCAAGCAAATGAGGATCTTCACTAAAAAGCAATGTTCACAAAAAAATGTTCACAACTCTTGGGTAGAATCTGAGGGAAAGAAGAGACCTTTGCATCGCACCAATTTTGTATGCTTCATGCCTCCAACTATGCACATTTTCCTACTGAAATTGATACTTGATAAACAGTGAAAAAATTTCTGCATTTGATAAAGTTTTATATAATTTAGTTAGATTTTATGAGAAGTAAGTATATAAATCCCATTGATTTTGCAAAAAAAATTTTGTAAAGAAAACAAGAAAGAGAATGGAAGTCAAAAAAGCAGAAGAATCCATCCTTCACCATCTGTGATGTTACAGGACTCTCTGGAGGAAGGAATCAGGCTTGTACAGAGTGGGGCTGAGGGCAGGAAGATATGGTTCATTCTGCACCTACAGAAAACAGTCCTGTTATCAGGTGAGATGCTTACAAGTTCTCACTCTCTAAACCAACGGCAGAGTCACATTTCCCTACCCCATCTACTTCCCAGTTTCTAATGACCAGAGTCATGGTATGGGAAGTGACTCACCTGTGTGCACTGTGGTGCGAGGACAGTGACTGGCACAGGGAGATGGGTCTGTTCCATGACTGGGGTGATACTCTGAGCCCTGACTTACATACAGGTTTACTATTCTCTGGTCTTTTTCCCTGAAAGAGTGGTGGTTTTCAACTCAATTCTAAATCTGTGACAGCATCTACATTAGACTAATTAAAAATAACTTTTAAACAACTTTGATCCAATTACCTGCAAATGTAAACATATGAATTATATCAGCACGCCCACAGAAACAACTACTAGGAGTTTAGAAAAAATATTTTCTGTGCGCACTTAGAGTAATCAGGATAACCTGACACTGGAGGCGCTCAAGGCAATTGTATGTATTGAAGGCCTGAGTCTCACACAAGAATCAGAAACAACAAAAGAAATCTACATGTCAAAGTCACAGTGAAAAAATAAGAACATGAAAAACACAAATAATATATCCCCACCAAGTGCCAATAGTCCTCTAAAGGAGTACAATGAGAACTCCCTAGAGATAACACAGGACATGGAATTCAAAAGAACAATTATAAACGTGATAAAAGAATTCAGTGAATTCAAAGAACACACAAAGAAATCGAAGAACTGAAAGAAGATAGGGATAAACTTCTGAATGAATTCAGAAGAGTTAGAAATATTGAAGAATACTCAGGTTGAAATGAAGTGAAATGTTCAATAAGCCAATTAGAAATGACAGGAGAATGCCTCACAAATAGGATAAATGAAATGGAAAACAGAATATTAAGACTGGAAGATAAAGTGGATAAAGTTAGACCACTCAAGCAAAGATTATGAAAAATATAAGAAGACAAAAGATTGGAATATGCAGGAATTGTGTGACACCATAAAAAGACCAAACTTGTGCATCATAGGCATAGAGGAAGGAAAAGAATCTCAGAATAATGGTACAGACCAGATCTTCAACAGGACTGTAGAAGAAAATTTCCCAAAATTAAAGAAAGATATGCCCATACAAATACAAGAAGCACCTAGAACACCAAATAGACAGGACCAGAGAAGAAACGTTCCATGGCATATCATTTTAAAAACACTAAACGTACAGAACAAAGAGAATACTGAAAGCTGTAAAAGAAAAACAAGTCACATATAAAGGAAAACCCATCAGAACTACAGCTGACTTTTCAGTGAAAACTATGAAAGCCAGGAGAGCCTGAACCAAAGTATTACCAGTTCTAAATGACCACAGATGCCAACCCAGATTACTTTACCAAGCTAAAATGTCTAATACAGTCAAAGGGGAAAGAAAAATCTTCCATGACATAAATAGGCTGAAAGAATTAGTGTCCACAAAACCAGACCTTCAGAGAGTTCTTGAAACAATACAAAGAGCTGAAGAAAGGAATGACTATACCCAAGGGGTAACAGAAAGAAGCTTAATGAGGGTATAACTATGGAAATGCATAGCTACACCAAGAATACGAAAAGAAATCAAATGACAGGAATCAATACACATCTTTCATTAATAACTTTAAATATTAATGGACTGAACTTCCCAGTCAAAATGGATTATTGAATGGTTTAAGAAACAAAACCTATCTTTTTATTGTCTGCAAGAAACCCATATCACTTTCAAGAACAGGCACTACCTTAAGATGAGAGGATGGAAAAAAATATTCCAAGCGAATGGTACTAAGAAAAAAAGCAGGAGTTGCACTTCTAATATCTGAAAAAATAGACTTCAAACTAAAA